ATTTTCTCGACAAAGCCGTAATTTGTTTTCTTCATTCTCGTATTCTCGTAATTACGGAATTACTCTTATTGATAATCATTTTCGCCTAGATAAATATCTGTTTTAGTTAGTTTTGCATCAACACTCACTTCAAAATAGGTTCCCAGCCAAAGTGCTTCCGTAACGTCTTAAAAAGAAGCTTCTAAACTCCAAATGAAGCTCTTTTAATGTGTTTTTTTCAATGAACAAATCTCTGGATTTCTGCTATTTTTATTGGGTTAAATGTTAAGATCTATAAAGTACCACAGGTTACATGCACGTACTTTACTGTAGTATTTCCAAGAAGATGTAATTTGTTGAGATGACTAAATATATGGGAACAGTCTATCTTAAACACTTCAGACAATACATTTATCATCAGAATACTCTATATATCATCGTGCTTCATAGTTCTCGGCTCTATTTCTGTTTGCTCTATATTTTCCTAACTGGCTTCACACAGTAACTGAATCAACTTGACAGTATGAAATATTGTTTAATTTGATTTATACATCCTAACTGACATACCAGATAAAACTATGTTGAAATTCTCTAAGTTTTTGGTGAACCAAAGCTTGTGTTAAAAACTGTTGACGGCATTTCGAGACAATCTCTCTGTGAGTCATAAAAAGGAGAGTCGATTTTCGATATTTCAGCACTGATGAAAGTATCACATTTGTATATTTCACGACAAGTCATATAGGTAAGATAACTTCAATCACAGAAGGTCAACATTCATTTATACACTGCCAGTGAATGTAATTTGTCGGTAGCTTACATATTTCTCGTAGTAGTTACTTACCTTATTGAAACAAGGGTACTGGGTTCGAGTCCCAGATTGAACATCAAATCTGAGATGCAGGTACATCCAGTTGACGAGTTCCAAAATAGGACGAAACGCGCGTCCTCGATTCCACTGCTAGCCGCTATCCATCTCTGCTAACCATGCTTGTGAATTAAGGTATATCGAGGCAATACGCACAGTATGCACATATGCCAATTAGAGACTGACCAGTTGCAGTCCTAACAAATCGATGGGAACATCCAAACAAACAATACTAAGTAAATTTCAACTTCACCCCATTGCACAAGCAAGTGGCTATGAGGACTCAGTGACCGAGTGGATAACGCGATGGTGTTTGAAGCGAAAGATACTGGGTTCGAGTCTCAGAGTGAACATCAACTCTGAGATGCAGGTACATCCAGCTGACGAGTCCCAAATAGGACGAAACGCGCGTCTCGAATTCCGCTGCTAGTCACTATCCATCTCTGCTAACTTACCTTATTGGTTTTTCTGGAACTATCATTTATTCAACATTTGGTTGTTATTAACAGTCGAATTGTCTTGAATAAGACTATTTCAAAAATTTAATTATATTAATTTTATTAGTTTTAGTAATCTGACATTTTGATACATGTTTTGACAGACTCGTGTTTCTTAAGGCTTGAATTTTAATAATATAATTTTGCTCAAACATTAAAAGATGAAATTTATAACCAACAAGATGAGTGTAGGTTGTCAGTCAAATTTTCTTTTCATAGAATAGTCGGAAAAAATTAATTGATTATTGCTTGACTACTCAGAGATTAAAGTGTACTAGAAGTTACTTGGCCTAAGAAAATAAGTGCCATACACAGATCATATAAAATTGATTCCATAAAGGGTAATTTTAGGATGAGGTGAGCCTAGTAATTAACAATTGATGGGAGAAAAGAGAAAAATATTTGTTTTATTTATTAGAACAAAGAATATATGGTATTTGTTTAACTTCCATAGATTACATTACAAACCGAGTTTAGGTAGAAAAATATTGAAAAACAGAAAGCAATAGATAGCTGTTTCCTCCTAGTATGGTGATCTCAACTACTCCTCATTCACGACCCCAATACTAGGGATTGAACTCACAACTTTCGATCTCCTGAGCGAGAACTTAACCTCTGAACCACTGAGGTGGAATCTAGTAGTGCAAACGTTTAACTTAAAAGTACTAACATCCCGGAAAGAAGAAATCTCATCATGATACCAAAGGAAAAAGATTTGAGCAAGTGCGGGAACTACAGAGGCACCACAACACTGTAGGTACCAGGAAAGCTTCTCAACAGAGTGTTGCTGAAAGATTCAATAGCCACAAAACTCCGAGACCAACAATCTTAGTTCCGTAAGGATTGGTCGTGCACAGACTAAATCACGACACTACGGATCATCGTTGAGCAATCAATTGAACGAAATTTGTCACTATGCATCAACTTCTTTGACTATGAGAAAGTGTTTGACAGTGTAAGTGGTAGAAGGTTATGGATCCTTGTTTGAAACTATGGTGTACCTGAGGAGATCTTCGGCATCTCACGGGACGCATACGACGGACTACAGTTCAAAGTCGTGCAAGGAAGCCGGCTGACTGATGCATTCCAGGTAAGAACCGGTGTCAGGCAAGGTTGGTTACTCTCTCCCTTTCTCTTTCTTCAAGTGGTTGACTGGATTATGAAGACTTAATTTCCGTTCACAGCGTCTTATGTTTGGATGCTTTATCATGGAAGTAACTTATTTTTTACTTATTTACGAAGGACTACAATAAGGGTGCTGGTCAACTGGTAATCAACTGGTAATTTTCAAATAAATATAATTGGTTCGATGTTTCTGATAGAGCTTTCGGTATTTGCTATTTACAAATGATTAAACTTATTCTAAAACGGAAGTGTTCTGTGGTGCACTCGATGAGACAACAACTGACGAAATGCCTTATCATTATTCCCAGATGATGGACCACAGGAAGAAGGTAACAATGCACAAGGAACTTAGTATCGAGTAATGATAAGTGGAAATAGAATAATTCCACAAATATAGTAACAAAAACGTGAATTCGAGACATAAAGTAAATTATCAAACAAACATTTGTGATAAAAAGATCATGGTTATCGTCATATTTAAGAGGTTAACATTTATTAACAGGACTAGATAATCTGAAATCATCCTAGCAACAACATAATGTACATTATGTCATCCAGATTTACTTGGTCTAGAGGCAAGCATTCTTGCGCGAGACTGAAGTTCCTGGGTTCGAATCTCGCAGGGCGTGATCGTGGATGCGCGCTGCTGAGGAGTCCCACATTGAGATGAAACGGCCGTCCAGTGTTTCCAGGTTTTCCATGGTGGTGTAGCTTCAATTGACTTATGATGTCAACTATGAAATTACTAAAATCTCCACAAAACCCCTTCTTATAATTTATTATTTGTTAATTTTATTATAGTCTCGTTTGATAACGTCAATAAACTAACCCTGTGATTCATTGGAGAAGTTAAAGGAAGGATTAGGTACACAGTTAATACTAGGGTCTCAGTTTTATTTATGCTAGTTGGCGTATAATATAGGGACACTTGTACTCTGTCATTACGATCTCAAAAATAATGACAGATTTTTCTTGCTACGCCGAATCGTTTAAATATTGTCGTTTATTTAGCATAGTTTGAGCAAAATATATGACCGTAGATAGTTTGGTACGATTAACGTAGCGTTTTAGCTGAATTTATATTAATACTTGAACTTCTGGAAGGGTTTCTGGGTAGTGAAGAGTTCTCCATTGTAACAGTGTTGGTTAGAATTTCTAGTAAAATGAACTTTGACCAGGTGTGAGTCTCAAGACTGTCTTTTCCTACTTTTTTAGGAGTCGTCAACCAAACTATCATCACAGTATTGATGTTCACATTGACACTTGAAAAAACTCCTCTTTACCTGAAAGACTTAAACGTTTTCCACTGAACTGCTGATTTCAGGAAGACACTAAGTTGTTCAGAGGGCATGATATTACTATGTTAATTATTATCATCACTAGTATCAGAAAATGAACATCAATATTGAGTTGATGCATCTTTCTAAAATAAATAACTTGTCATTCTAATAATAACACACTAGATTAAACATTCCTTCTCGTCCAATAAATCGGTAGACTGAAGTCAGGAAACTTGGTGAACACAAATCAGTGTACATATATACTATTTTTATCAAAATCCTCACCATTCAAGGCAAGATATTTGTTATATCTCAAGTCGTTCAAAGTATACATGGATATTTTATTCTTCTAAAAATGTAGACTGGTTTGTAGGCGAATAGTAATCAATGATAAAATAGACTATTTAGATGGTCTCTTTTCTCGTCAAGTTTCTGAAATTTCCCGATAAACGAAATATATCTATTGAAACTTAAATGCACAAAAGATCGTTTATGTTTCCCGATATATGACAAACCTCACTATAGGATCGAACTACCAAGCTGTAATTTATGCCACTAATATTTGTATACTTGAAAATAATTTATCTTTAAATTTTATATGTATTAATACTATTATGTAGCGTAAAATGTTCCCCAAAATACTGAATCACATTTAATTATTTCAGAACCTCAGTTATTATTGTTTCAAATGGCAGTAAGTTACTTAAGCGTAAAGTTTGCATGCATGAGGCATTTCCAGTTAAACATGTACTTTTCTTATGAACTGGTCACTTCTTTGAAACCAAATCAGAATAACTGTTTGGATTTTTTCAACGTTTTCCAAAGTTACCTACAGTGGCATGTTGGCCGAAATTACTACCTCAGGTAATCTTTTATTATTAACTTCAAATCTTTATTAAACAGTTATGATGGATTTATCAAACATGCGCTGAGTGGTCAATGTGCGCATCGTAGTAGATTTCCTACCAGAAGTGATGTGGCAAAGCAAGGTTTCTGAAATATTTGGTTCATTTCAGTATTCTTTCCTACAATTTCTGTGTGTTTGGAACAAATTAGAAAAGTTAACTACAAACATGATGACATAGTCTTTACAGCGATAAATGTGTATATAAAAAGGAACGAATCGAGCGAAAAAATTTCTTTTCAATTAGTTTTTTTGAAAAGAAATTTCTTCGCTCGATTCGTTCCTTTTTATTTATCAAATGTCAAAATGGGAATTTTCACTTTATTAAAATGTGTATATACATGACTCACCAGTACGAAAATTCACAATAATATCCAATATGAACAATGTATCTGAGATACTATTGAAAATAAGCCAATTTCCAGGTAGATCGTCATTAAAAAAAGAAATTATCACCGGCAACATTATAAGATTAGCCATTAGTAGGATGAGCATAATTACATTCCAGTAAAATCTAGGGAAAGCAGAACGAGAAAAAAATAAAAAGACTTTAATCAAGAAAACAAAAATAGTAATACTTATCAATTATTTCCATATTTTGTCAGAGGTAATTTGTCTTTGTTTTGTAGCTTGCATTACTCTTTCAAAATGCAGCAATTAAAAATTGGCTGCTTTGGAGTTTTTCCATCTGAATATCCAATTTTTCATTTGGGCACATCAGTATCCGTGACCGCAGACTTAATAATCTCTACAATCTAGTAACTCTAATAATAAAAATTATCTATTCTTTATAGTCAAGACAAATTTTATGAGATATAATAAAAAGTCTTGATCCAGTTGTATTGGTCATCTGAAACTATCACCGACAACAATAGATAATGGTCAAGTAGTACAACAAAATTGATAGAACTTTGATACGTAATTCATCTGACGCCAGCTCCATAGTGTTAAAAACAAAATGCATGCTGCAAAACGTAAACCTTTCGCGCTAAAACTCTAGTACAGTCGTGGATTTATAGAATTGAGGAGTCCCATACTGAAAAGAAACAACTATCCAGTGCTCCACGGTTTCTATTAGCTGTATAGCTACAGCCGTTTCGTCATATTAACTGTGAATTAATCTATTTCTATTATTCTCTAATAACAGAAGTTTTTAATTTGTTCATAACATCATCGAACCTGTGAAGAACTCAGTAATTGAATCTAAATCAATGAACCAAATATTATGTGTTTATTTACTTTGTGAAAATGCTGGAGGCTCCGACCAAAGTAACCCAATTTATTCCCGTTTAAAATTACCCAGTTCTTTTGTTTTAACCAATATTTTCATGGCTTACTAGGTTTAAATCAGCTTAACAGTTTACAGACAGTTTATTTACTTAATCAGATACAATTCATTACTTTGCAGTTCTGTATATTTGCATTTCGTTATTTTAACTGAAATTAAGCACATAATCATAATTTTGTCCCCGTAAAATAATAAATTGTCCGAATGGAAATGTATATTGATGAAGTGAGGAAAATTTCTTCAGAAAAGTATTAAATTCGCATAATATTTTAAGAGGCTATTTGTATGCAAACAAAATGAGTCTTGTCTACCACAACTATTACACCGGAAAATTTACGTTACATTTTTGATGAATAGAAAAAGATGAGGAAACGCCACATAATTTATTTGAAGATGAGATATTGGGTAATAGTACTTTATATTAAGTATTTTGATAAAAAAATATGAAGGTCGTAGAGCTGTTACCTGGTTTTTATACAGAGTTTTAGTTTTATTTACATACATTCAGACTTTCTGTAGATCAAAATTCAAAATTTTTCTTTCAATAACAGTTGGAACATAAATGAATGTACATTATTGTACTCTATGTCCTATTTGAGACGATTATTAACTATTCTCATCGATTTCTACATTTACTGACAGAGAAACTGGTGTTAGCTTGATACTTAATGAGGATGAACTACAATGTTTTGATGACTGCTGAAACAACTAAAGAGTTAAGCTCAGGGTTTTAACAAATGAGTTCAAATAATAGGTGTAAACATTATGACTATCGTTTTGCTCTTTATTGGAAATCAAGGTACAATTTTAAAACTGTTTGAATCTCACTAAATGAATGTATTTGTGCTGATTTCTACACAACTTTTCGAATACAGTACCAAATGTTTTGACCAGCTTTAAATATTCATTACATAAACATAAAAATTATTATTTATTCAAAATTTGAACATATATTTATTCCGTACATGATATTATGAAAGTCTGTTCAAATGTCTGGACCAACTTTCTGAATGTGCAATAATTCAATTTAAGTGCCTGTTTTATATTTGTTTGAACTGAATAGTTATGAGTAATAACTCTAATTACTGACAACGGTTTTCACATGATAGTGTTGATTAAAAAAAGGAGATAAAATTTCATTTTTGTTATTTTCTCCTACAAACAGCCGGTGAATGTATTGATCTTTCTAAAGAACTAACAAAATTTAACATGAAGTCGGTGATTTAAATACAGAGGTTAAATACTTAGGAGAAATAAGCACATTGAAAGGTTTAGTAGTGAATGATAGACTTTTAATTTTGAAGAAAAATCTATAGTATTTAAAATTTAATGTCATTGGCAAAATGCATTTCAATTTTGTAAAAACTCAATTCACCTATTAATTTTTAGAAGTCGCATAATTATTTGAGTTTTTTTACAACGTTGTTCCAGGGATTTAGTAAGCAAACTATTCTATAAGTAAAGTACATTTAGATATTGAAATTGTGTAGGAAACTAACTGGTAATGGCTATTATTTTATGAATGGTAATGAATATAAACGTTTAAGGCAAATATTTTATAGTTATAGCTACTTCATATAAGTCAAGAAACTTCAATCGGAATTTAGTGATCGGTGAGATTTGTAATATTATTGGCATAAACGTTTCGTAGAGATTTTAGATTTTTATGGTCTATATCATGCAGCGGTCGTAGCTAGACAACTATTAGTAGCTACTGGAGTTCAGCCATGTCGAGTATGATAAGGACGGTAGAAGATGGTTGCACAGTATAGGGAATAGATTGAAGCTAGACGTATGCACTACTAGATTCCACCTCAGTGGTTCAAAGGTTAAGTTCTCGCTCAGGAGATCGAAAGTTGTGAGTTCAGTCCCTAGTGTTGGGGTCGTGGATGAGGAGTAGTTGAGATCTCCATACTAGGAGGAAACAGCTATCTATTGCTTTCTGTTTTTCAATATTTTTCTACCTAAACTCGGTTTGTAATGTAATCTACGGAAGTTTAACAATTACTGAAAATCCTATATATTCTAGTAAACATTTTATTATAAAGGGTGTCCAAATTACAAATAATTTTAAAATGTAGCTAGGAATTATGCTTGACTATCAGGACTCAGTGGCCGAGTGGATAACGCGTTGGCGTTTGTAGCGAAAGATACTGGGTTCGAGTCTCAGAGTGAACATCAACTCTGAGATGCAGGTACATCCAGCTGACGAGTCCCAAATAGGACGAAACGCGCATCCTCGATTCCACTGCTAGCCACTATCCATCTTTGCTTACCATGCTTGTGAATTTAGGCTATATCGAGGCAATACGCACAGTATGCACATATGCCAATTAGAGACTGACCAGTTGCAGTCCTAACACATCGATGGGAAGATTCAAACAAATTATGGTTGACAGTTCTGTAGTCCCGAAGTTTGAGCAACTTTTAGTTTACCGTGCATTATCTATTTTTTCCTGGAAAACTTATGTGCTATTCAAATAACAGTTTTTGAAGTGCTTGTAGTAAATTTCAACTGGTAGCTCTAACATTTCTGTAAAATATTGTTCATTGAAGAATTTTGAATGACGTAATGAGCTTGAAAATCTCATAAGTAGCAGGTTGTCGTATATAAGACAATTCAAAATTTTGCATGGTTGTGAGGCAGTGAATTAAAATACGGAAACTTTCTTAAGACTAAAAACCAGACATCAATTTTATTCTGATTTCAAAGCTTCAATCAACTTGTGATATAATCTAGCAAAAATATTTGACAGTGATAGCGGGTAAAGATTTGCATTTAAAATAGGAATATTGTCGAAATGTCATATTCAGATTTACTGGTTCTTTAGAATGACGGACTGACTGAATAGAGGTTCTTTATTTAGATAAAACAACTAGTTAGTAATCCCTGATCTCGTTGTTTCAATGTCTTCATTTCCATTATTTACTTTTCTGAACCAGTATTTTAAGTTCCACGCTTGTTTGATAATTTGACAGTGATGTAATTGAGCATTTGTGCAATAAATTTTTCTCACGTTTTAACTATTTATAAGTTACAATACTCAAAATGAAGGGAACTTTAAAAATAATTCCCAGTTCAAGCAATGTGTTTGTTCCACAGAATTAAATAAACTGTATTTTCTTACATCTTGATCAATTTTATCACCACCACTGCTCAGAACACTTTTGATCGTCCGAAATGTAATACTGTAATCAATCTAAATCGGATTCATTAGCTAAATTGAAATGTCATTGATTCCCGTATTCATGATAATAAATTGTTTATCAGACATGACAAATTTGTAAAAATGTGTTAATAATTGTTTGACTCAGTTATTTCGTTATACAAGTAATATTTTATGTTATTCAGAAATGGATGGTGGTTAGCAATGGATGAAAGACGTATGTTTCGTCCTCTTTTAAACACGTCAAATGGATGTACTTGAGTCCCAGATTTGATGTTCACTCCGGGACTCTAACAAAGCACCATTCGCTTCAAATGTCTAAAACATAACGTAAAATGCAGCATGAATGTAGAGCATGAATGTCATCACAAAGATTTCGGTTTATGTACAGAAAAAATGTGAACTTCATTTCTGAAGGATTCGGAAATAATGTAATTATTTTAAACGTATGTTTTTAATTATGATAAATTAAGACAAGATCTTATAGTTTTTGACCTTAAAATCTTTTATCGCGTTTTCATCGACATGATCTTTTTTTCTCGCTTACTCTACAGTCAAATAAATTTGCGGTGGTGATTTATGAATAACTTTAAACAAAGCAAAATAATGAAAACCTATACAAGGCTAAAACGACATTCTAATTCTTTCATTTGTTATCTTAAAAAAATTAAAACAGATGACAATACGAATGAAATTTGCTTTTGTCTTAGCACATGTTCATTTTCCAATTTGTAAAAAAACATTTGGCGTTTGTTTAGTTTAGTGAAACACTGGCTAAATAAATAATTTCAAAATAACTTTATCTTTAATCCGAATATTTCAAAAAACTCACTCTTTATTTTTGGGCATTTTGTGTTTAGATAAAGGAGAAATGAAAAAAATAATTTGTTAAATTTTAACAAAATATTTATTGATCATTGAATGACATGAAAGAAACATATCGTTATCTTGTGTTCACAAAACAAATTTTATCCACCCATGACAAACTTTGTTGATAAAAACATTTGAAAAATATTTGTGATGTACACAATTTAAAGACATCTCACTGACTAACCAATT